TGATGCTAATGAAGATGGGACATGCTACTCGGGAATAGGAAGGGGTGGGGGTGAATTGAAAGGCCCACGAACACCCCCTTCTCTCCCATGGATTTTAAAAACTTTTGGCGGAGGGGCGGGGATTGTTAATATTTCATTCCCGGCTGTTAAATGACCTACTTTGTTATCTCTACAGTGATCAGTTTTCAAGGGCACGATTGTTATTCACGACCTATTCAGCCAAAATTCGCAAGATACACGACAGTCATTTAAGGAATATTGGCATATTTGGTTCTTATTTAAACTTGAAGGTAAGACGTCTTGATAACAATCTAATATGCTGTATATTTGCATGCAAAACAGCTATTTTAGCCAAAATGTATGAAATGAACAATGTTCAATATACAGAGTATTGATAATTTTCACGGATTTGGTTTTTAAAGGGACAAAATCGTCATAGATCATGCTTCAAATTTAAGTTTAGACACGCTTAGTTTGTCTGCAATTAAATATAAACGTATTGTCTTAATCTAAGTAAACGGCCTCAGTATAGATGTAGGTTAATACGATTAATCCCGGATTAGCAATCTTCAAAGTGATACAGGTAATCAACAGTGTGTTCCTTTAACGAACGTCGAACATTAAACCTGGGTCACGAAAGACTGGTCTCATTTGATACAACTATATGTATTATATTGTATATATTATGTTAAACTAGTATATCCCATAGTAAATGTATTGCATATACGCATTGATTTAAGGTATGTCAAAGTGATCTTTTTGTACATCAAAGTGATCTTGTTGTGTAGATCCGAGTGATCTAGTTGTTTATAGCATAGTGATCTTGTTGTTTATAGCAAAGTGATCTTGTTGTATAGATCCGATTGATTTTGTCTTGTTGTATATATCAAAGTGATCTTGTTGTATATATTAAAGTGATCTTGTTGTATATATCAAAGTGATCTTGTTGTATATAACAAAGTGATTTTGTTATATATCAAAGTGATCTTGTTATATATATCAAAGTGATCTTGTTGTATATATCAAAGTGATTTTGTCTTGTTGTATATCAAAGTGATCTTGTTGTATATCAAAGTGATCTTAATGTATAGATCCGAGTGATTTAGTTGTATATCAAAGTCGTATAGGTTGTATACCTCCTTGCGACTGGGATATACGAGTGATTTATATCTTCTTAGATTTAGGATATATCTTAGTGATTTATATCTTCTTAGATTCTGGATTGACTTAGTGATTGTGTTGTGTCTCTCAGAAGTTGTGAAAGTGTTTGAAGTTCTGAAGAAGATGCACACCCAATGGAGAGACGGCGGGGAATGGAAGAAGGAGAAGCTACCATTGACCACACCTAGTGATGAAGCTTGTAAGATGTATGATGCTGTTGTTACACAGGTCTGTATGGGTATATGGGGGTGGGTTTAGAGCTTTTTAAGTGTTAAAGGGGCGTGTGGAGGAGGAGGGAGTGTCATCTGGGCGTGACCGGATCTAGGTGATGAAGCGAAGCTTGCAAGATATTGATGCTTTAGTTGAGCCAAGAATACAGGCCTTGAAGAAGAGAAAAGGGGAGGGGTCAATTGAGGGCGTGGCTATAGGACTAAGCAAATAATTTCTGTACACATAGGAATACCCTTATGGTCACTGAATATTCTATTCTAGAAGCTGTATCAACATGTATCCCTATTCAGAATGCAAACATGCATCGGGTTGGTCTGCAAGGTTTACGATATCATAGGATGTGTTCATCATTGACTGCTTCTTCTTTCAGTACGTAGGCTGGTACGACGAGCCGTCTGTTGGTGGAATTGAACATTCCGTGGATAAAATGATAGCTGCTGATCCGGATTTTGGTAAATCATTCACTCTCCTTTGAATCCTTACTGAAGAAGCATAGACTGTGGAAATGCACCATATCCTTCCGTATTGGCACAGAAAACAAGATTCATTTTGATTGCCCAATAATATGCCGAAAAGCGGTTAAAAGAAAATTGCGTTTACCGGCTTCAATAGCCCAAACAGATGCAGTGAAGTACATTTCATTTTTTTGCAGTAATGGGTAACGTTTTAAAAAATGGATTGGATTTGCTGGGCACAGGGAAGACCGTCACCCTAGATCCAGATTTCAAATTGGACATAGAAAAACTCAGAGAACTCTGTCAGAAAAGAAACATCAGCAATCGGGAAAAACTACACGCGGATGCCATCACACAATTTGCTCAAGGGTCAGTACGTCGTTATTTCGGAGCATTACTGTTAAGAACATCAGTATTTTGGAGCATCACTTTTAAGAACATCATTATTTAGGAGCATTGCTGTTAAGAACATCATTATTTAGGAGCATTGCTGTTAAGAACATCATTATTTTGGAGCATTGTTGTTAAGAACATCATTATTTAGGAACATCACTGTTAAGAACATCATTATTTAGGAACATCACTGTTAAGAACATCATATAGGAACGTCA